GCATACCCATCAGAGATAACCAAGGCAGACTGCTCACCACAGAACAAAAACAAAACATGCAGTGGACTAAACACTTCTCCGACCTCTTGAACAGACCTGATCATGAAAATCCCCCATATATTCAACCAGCCTCTCAGGACATTGACATTATTACTGAACCAACAAGCAAACAAGAAATCCTTAAAGCTATCCACACTTTAAAGAACAACAAAGCACAAGGCAAAGACGAACTGCCAGCAGAACTTCTCAAAGTAGATCCCAACACAACTGCTAGCATTCTAGAACCATTGTTCAAGCATATTTGGGAAAAAGAAGTGTTGCCTAATGACTGGACTGAAGGAACAATAGTCAAATTCCCCAAAAAAGGAGACTTAACAGACTGCAATAATTGGAGGGGAATTACTCTACTCTCAGTACCAAGCAAAATATTTTGTAAATCATCATAATGCGGCTTGAAAAAGGAGTAGATAAATGCCTTCGAGTGGAACAAGCAGGATTCAGAAAGGGCAGAGGAACAACTGAGCACATCTTCGCCATACGTAACATTTTAGAACAATGCAACGAATGGCAGAGAAGTATATATATTTATTTTGTGGACTTTGAGAAAGCTTTTGACAGCGTCCATGGAGATGGTCTGTGGAAAATCTTACGAGATTATGGAATTCCAGGAAAAATTGTCAACATAATTGCTCTCTTCTATAAAGACTTTTCCTGCAGTATAAAAAATTACAAACATCTTTTCCAGTAAAGACGGGTGTAAGACAGGGATGTGTTATGTCATCTCTCCTCTTCAACCTTGTGATTGATTGGATACTAAAGAACACAGTAGACAGGACATTAGGAGGCATACGATGGACTCCATTCACCATGCTTGAGGACCTTGATTTTACTGATGATATAGCACTCCTTTCACATAAACATGAACATATACAAGAGAAAAGTAACAGACTAAACTGCACAGCAGAAATGGTGGGACTGAGAATAAATACAAAGAAAACTAAGATCATGACAAACAGTCCAAACCAACAACCAGTGACCATAAGTAACCAATCACTTGAAAATGTAGAACATTTCACATATCTTGGCAGTGTGGTGTCCCTATTGGGAGGGACAGAAGAAAACATACGGTCACGTCTGAACAAAACTAGAGCTGCTTTTGGAAGGATGAGGCAAATCTGGAAATCCAACAATTACTGCAGAGGAACGAAACTCCGACTCTACAAGAGCATCATTTTGCCAGTTCTTCTTTATGGAGCGGAATGCTGGAGAATGACCAAAAAGGATGCACACAAGCTGTCCACCTTCCAAGACACATGTCTAGGTAGAATTATCAAAATTTTCTGGCCAGATACAATCTCAAACACTAAACTACTTCAAGCCACAAACCAAGAAACTTTAGACAGTATGATTAACAAAAGAAGATGGAAATGGCTTGGCCACGTTATGAGAATGACTTCTGATATACCTGCCAAAACAGCTCTCACATGGACACCAGAGGGAAAGAGAAAACAGGGGCGCCCAAAAACAACACGGAGACGAACGATGGAAAGTGACCTGAGTGTGGCATCTTTGACATGGAAAACTGCACTGAAGATTGCACAGGACAGGAAAGCATGGAAAGTCCTCTCTGAAGCCTCGTGTGCCACTAGGCATAACGAGAACTGATGATGATGATGAGAAGCTTTAGATCGAATATAGCCCCCACCTCCTCCACCCCGCTACGGATTCGAACCACAGATCTTCAAGCCCTAAGACCCTAAGACAATTATCTTCTTCTTACAGTGCATGCCGTGTGGGTGGCGTTGATAGTCATGGCTATTCATAACCTTCTGTCTCGTGTATTTTCAGTCAATTTAGACACATATAGTTTTTCTTACCATGATGTAAAACTGCCCAACATCTTCTCTCTCTCTCTCTCTCTCTCTCTCTCTCTCTCTCTCTCTCTCTCTCTCTCTCTCTCTCTCTCACATCTATCTCTCACTCCCCCTCCTTCTCTGTGTGTGTATGTGTGTCTGTGCGCTTCCCCCTTCCAACCTTCCCACCGTATCTATCTACCACAATAGAGCAGCTCTTGTGACTTTCTAACTGTTAGCAATCTATGTGTACATCATGTAGATATGACTCAGATGTCCTTGATACATTCTAACTACTTCAGTGCGATCATGAGTCACACATTTAGACAAGAAAATAAAGCTTGTCATCCGAAGTGCAGCCTTTGTAGTGTAGCTGTGTCAGTTAAGATGAGAAAGATCGATCGGTGGATGAGTGCTCTTCAAGCTGCTACTAAAGGCTTACTGTATCAACCTGAGATTAAAAATCTCATTTGACTGGACGGCAGACCATTAATTCAGATCCAAGATATCATGTTCAACCTCGAAAGAAGTTATAATTAAGGCACCCGTGACAGTTACGCCAGCCAGGTGTGACCTCCAGTCCTATGCAGAAAGATAGCTCTTGAAAGCTATATAGACCGCTGACTGTTCAAAACTCACCTTCATGCACTGGGATTGGTTATATACAGCTTTCGAAGCACCGGCGAGGATCCTGACATACTTGGGGTAGATTTTTAATTCAAAATTTTGTCCGGGCCGCGCAGTTAGACTACTCGTTTCGATTTCCAACTGCCAAGGGATTTTTTTTATGTGCGCCAAAATACACACGTTCTTCCGATACTACTACCCAGAGACCAGGACAAATTACTAGAAGTCTACTTTAATAAATCACAGCCTGTATCCGGGCCTGAACCCAGGATCTCCAGCGCTCGAGGCGGACGCCGCTTCAAGATCTCCTTATATATATATGTGTGTGTGTGTGTGTGTGTGTGTGTGTGTGTATATATATATATATATATATATATATATATACACACACACACACACACATATATATATGTGATTTGATGAAAAGAATGATGAAAATACTGAAGATAGATAAATACATGGCAATGAAAATGACTTGAATAGAAATCACCTCACTAGAAGAACTGTTTATCCACATTAGAAGCAGGTCATTCAAATTATCTGGGCTTGCCATGAGAGGGAGGAAACTAAAGTACTTAGTGACGACAGAAAGTACAGAAGGAGAGAGATGCAGGTTAGATCAGACTAAAATTAATATTGGGTATACAGTATGACAAAAAATATATCAGAAATGACTGACAGTACACCAGGCAGAAGGTTGTGGGTTGTAAAAAATCGCGAATGCACGTAAAAAGAAACAAAAACCGTTTACTAAACGATGGGAATACAGAATTACAGAAGCAAGCAAGAATCTAAAATTAATTTTCAACTATTAATTACATAACAACATCTTGTCTCGGAAGCTGAACTATGTTGGCCATACCAAGCGCCAGTTAGGAAACCTAATAGAAGGCATGGTACCAGGAAGGAGGGGGCACGGGCTGAACAGCACGAAGATGGGCACAATGTATAAATGACTCCTTGAATATGAAAAGGCACGAGGCGGGCGGGAGAGTTGACAAGAGACCGAGTATCATTCAGGCAGACTGTGATGAGAGCGACGTTCTGCCAAAAACCTACTAAATAATAATGATTAATCGCATTACAGACCATAGCAGTCACTAAGAATATCAGGCTTGTGGAGTGTCATGGGTTTTTCATGAACTGGGTGGGTATCAACGAAGGAACAGGAGGGGTGCCAACCCATTTGTTATGATGACTATTTAAAGTTAGTTGCGTCTCCTTTACAGGATGTTGCAAAACTAACAACACCAGTGGTTCTCAACCTTCCTAATGCCGCGACCCTTTAATACAGTTCCTCATTTTGTGGCGTCTCCCAGCCATACACTCATTTTCGTCGCTACACTTCAATGAATGTGTGTTTTGCGATGGTCTTTGGCGACCTCTGTAACGGGTCGTTCGACTCAAAAAGGGGTCTCGACCCATAGGCTGAGAACCGCTGCTCTAAACAAACGTGTTAAATAGAAAATTTTCTCAAGTGAGGGTGCATGACTATACTAGAATGAATGCTTAGCAGTTAGGTGGGATAAAGAATATATCAGACATGACTGTCGGTTCACAAGACAGAAGGTTGTGGATACACATGATGACCAGCGTCATATATCATGAACTTTAAGATTTCCCTGTAAGAATTTTTTTTTACTGGTATTTCCATTTTGGCGTAATCTTGTCCGGTCCGTCATACCGCAATGTTAGACACACCCACTCGAATTTCTTGGCGTGATTCTGTTTTAGTTAAGTCTGTATGAAGAAGGCTGTGTCGCAACACAACTGACACTTGAAATGGGAAAAAGCTTTGCAAGTGAAGTGGGCTGGGGAATGGAAGGAAACGCACCCTTTATAATTTCGCACACTGTGTAGGGGGAGGTTGAGAATACAGTTACTGTTACCCGGATGCCTACCGCACTTTATTGTCCTTGGGATTGTTAATATTCACATATTTTCCCGAGAAAAGACGGGGGGGGGGGGGGGGGCTGCACCAGAAACAAACACTCGTGAACTTTGACCTAGGTTATATCTATGCACGGGCTATAATCAGGGTGGGGCTTCAACAAAAAAAATTTCATTCCACATGGGAATGATTGTGTAATTTACTACAGAGTTCCGTTCCGACTAACATTAAAATACAGGCAGTGGGAGGGTTGTCTTCCAAATATTCTGCCAAACAGACTCTGCTGCTCTTTGCCTCTGTTCCGGAATCTTTTGACCCAACCAATGTAGTTATTTTTCTTGTTTTTTTTCCTATTTATTTATTTAGTTTTCGTGGTCATTAGTGCGGGTGATCGTTAAGTCGCATAGGTTAGTTAGTTAGTTAGTCGTTACGGTTCCGGCATCACAGCAAACGAGCATGGCCCATAATCGCTCAACCGCCTATGCCAGTGATTCCAGTCACCGAGTCAGATACGCTGGATACTTCAAGTGAATGCCGTAGCCTTACAAAGAGAGGTCGCATAGGTCGTAAGTTGAAGTGGATCACATAATATAGTCAAGGGAGTTAACAAAAATAATTGTTTCTTACAGGCACTGACAGGGTTCCTGCTTGTGACTACCAGAGATGGCAAGTTGCTGTATATTTCGGAGAATGTCACAGACTACCTCGGACACTCTATGGTACGTTTTTGTGTCGATAACCTACTTGGTTATTCTGTACAGTTACTGACGGTGGCTCCTTCTAGTTTATGCAATGCCATATTATGTCGTGTTTATTAAAAAATGGCTTCTTAGAACGGAAAAAAAGGGGGGGGGGGGGAGGGGGGTTAAATTTTAGTAATTCGCGTACTTGACCAAAGTGGAGATGTAGGAGAGAACTATTCGAGTTTAATTGAATCAGTCAGTGGGTGGATGGGGGGGGGGGGGGGGGGGGGGCAGGCGCTGGAAATAAGACACTGAGAAAACACGATAAAAACATAACAAGAATGTCTTTACATTGTAACCTACAGGTTTAAAGAAATAAAGTAGTTAAAAAAGAATTAAAAGTAAAGATTACTTTTCTTGCCTTTAGACGCATCGGGCATATGGGAAGAGCACTCATATTTTTACAGACCAATCGGCACTAGGTAGTCAGCATTATGCTGGCCGTCTATACTTCCCAGGACATACATCCTAGTACCCATTTTAGGCTGGGTCGACCTGCGACGCCCCCATACCTTGATAAAAATCCACGCAGCCAGCAGTGGGTTTCGATTGCGGTACGTTGGAATTATGAGTCGGATTCGAAACGCCTAAGCCGCAGACGCTGCTAAAGAAATAAAGGCACACACAAATAGAGAGTGGGGGGGGGGGGGATTTGGAGAAGAGATAGGGTACTTATTTACGATAACAAAGGATATGAAGAATTGGCCTGAGTTGGTTAAGGGCATATGCTCTATTGAAGAATGAAGAATTTAAGCGGGCCTGAGTTGGTTGAGGGCATATGCTCTATTGAAGAATGAAGAATTTAAGCGGGCCTGAGTTGGTTGAGGGCATATGCTCTATTGAAGAATGAAGAATTTAAGCGGGCCTGAGTTGGTTGAGGGCATATGCTCTATTGAAGAATAAAGAGTTTAAGCGGGCCTGAGTTGGTTGAGGGCATATGCTCTATTGAAGAATAAAGAGTTTAAGCGGGCCTGAGTTGGTTGAGGGCATATGCTCTATTGAAGAATAAAGAGCAGAATGACGTGTTGTTTACAAAAGGTAGTTACTGGTGTAGCCTTGAGGAGTGCCCTAATTGTAATTGCCCAGGAAGCTGAACCAGGTATATGTGAGTTGTCCTGTTGGCCTGACGTCCAGGATGCGCCTGATGACGTTAAACATGACAGTGGTCCGGAGGAAGAAACCCTTGAGTCATGTAGCGTCATCCTTCTGCGGGTTGTGGAGCTCCATTTTGAGGGGTAAATAATTTAGACCCAATGCGTCTTCAGATGAATGTCGTAAAAGGCGACTAATTTCGAAGTCAGAGGGCATCTGCGCGAGAAACCAGGAACAAAAGTCTGCATACAAATGAACCAGGTCTTTAAAACGGCTGTGCATGTAAAACTCAAGTTCTGGAACAGGACCAAAGGCTGGAAGTGGACAAACAACCAGAATTTACCGCCGCGGCTAACCGTTTGTGAACGCCAAGTAAAAATAAAGAAGATATTGTGTCTCAAACGACTAATGCAAGAAGGAAGCAACACTCACTGTCAATTGTTTATTTATCTATGTAATGTTTCTTTTTGTGTGAACATGTGCTTGTATTGAGGGAACCGCCGTAGTCTAGTGGCCAGACGTTCGCCTGCGGATCGAAAGGTTGGAAGTTCGGTTCTTGATGGGGGACGGACTTTTTTCAAATATGACCTTGGCTCCCAGGTCGACCCAGCCTTGAGTGGGTACCAGCTGCAATCCTAGGAAGTAAAAAAAAGGCCGGTTTAATACTGGTCACATCACTTACCAAGTGCCGTTTGGTCTATAAAATACAGGTCTAGCCCTATATACCCAATAAGCCTAAAGGGTGTGGAAAAGGGTCCTTTACTTACTTACTTTTATATGCTTGTATTAGGTTCATATATGTGCACACGCACGTGTGTTGGTCATTTCGGTAGTTTTTATCAAACGCATATCACATTTTCAGGTTGACATGAAAACTCAAGGGGATAGCTTGTACGATATAGTGGACAAGAAGGACCACGCCCTCATACAAACGCAGCTGTCGCCGAGCACATCCTTGCAGAACTCGGATGTCTCCTTCTTTTGTCGCATGAACATGTCAAGGACACTGAAGCGTCAGCCAGGCTTTGGTGATGTGAAGGTATTTTATGTTTCTCTTATGCATCACCAGCTGTCACTGTCAGTAAGTGCTGAATTTAGGTACGTAGGCTAAATAAACTCCGCGGCGTCCGTGGCTTAGGCGTTGCCAGTCCCATTCGTAATCCAACGTACCGCGATCGAAACCCACTGCTGGCTGCGTGGGTTTTTACCATGGTATGAGGCGTCGCAGGTCGACCCAGCCTAAAATAGATAGGATAGCTGTTCTAGGGAAAGTAAAAACGGCCTGCATAATGCTGACCACATTACTTACCTAGTGCCGATTGGTCTGTAAAAATATGGGCGCTTTTCCCATATACCCAATATGCCTAAAAGGCGTGACAAGGGATCTTTACTCACTTACTTCAAATAAACAACGGCTTACTGTCTGCAAGGGCCTAACACCCCCCTCCCCCCACTGAATGCAGTTGTCTTTTAATATATATTTTAAATGCAGTTGTTCCTTTAAAAGATTCCCTCAGACAAATATTTTCAGAGAGAGAGAGAGAGAGAGAGAGAGAGAGAGAGAGAGAGAGAGAGAGAGAGAGAGATAGAGAAAGAGAGAGAGAGACGAAGCGACATTGTTACAATTTGTTGTTTATTTTGATAGCATTTATTGCCATTTAACAGAGCCACTTGAGTCAGTTTGGACAGTCGTATCGAGAGCTGGCCGTTTAGTGGGCAATGGCAAACTACTTAACGTAAAATTGCCCAGTGAAATCACGTAACAGCCGAAACAGCTGCGACTGGGTTCTGCGACCTCATGTAAAGGACAAGAAAGAGGGTCGGTTTCAACGCGCCAGGTTTGACCCATATTTGTCTAGGCAAAGCGGCTGGTCATCTGTTGAAAACACCGTACATTAAAGCACAAACCCTTTTATTCCAGTGACGACTACCTCTTTCGGGCAGACGTGCTAGATACAACCCCCCCCCCCCCCCTTCCCCACCCAAGCCCCGCTTCTCAGTCTTTAAAGGTCTAAAATGGAATGTTCACAAATGTTGGTAGGTCAGACTTTCATTTATCCAACCTTTCCCTGAAGTAACCGGCTATTCATTGTGGGTTGGTATGCATTTGTATTTCAATCACATATAAGAATTGCCCTTCAAACTGTTCTTCGGACGCAGTTCATAAACACTGATAACTTTGAACCCCCCTTTACCTCTGTAAACTTCAAATCAACCGCTGTTTTTATTCTTGGTGTTCGCTCTAATAACTTTGTAAAGCTGATTGTTTCCGACTACTGGAAAACCCTTGAGGTGACTTTTCCCATTCCCCCAGCGACGAAAAAATATCAATTCTATACCACATTCTTTAGCCAGATGTGAATACAAACACGTTGTCACTTTTTTTTTTTTTTCGCGGAAAGAACAATGTCGCAAGGAAACAAAACAATCGAACAAAGCTAGATGGCAGCCTCACTGAAGTATTAAAAAACAGCCATATACATTAAAAAACAAATTCATTGTGTTCACAACACAACCATTGACCCGTTAGAGTCGTGAAGGTGTATTGATGGAAGCACTAGCACATAAAACCTGCCATCTTTTTCTGTCTTCCGCTTGGAATAAGTATATGATAACTTAGTCCTGTCCATTTCTTGATGTTATCATTCCACGTTCTTCTTTGCCCTCCTCTTCTTCGACTACCTCCCCCCCCTCCCCCCCCCCCCCCCCCCCATGCTCTTCCGAGTACAATCTTTGCAATCGAATCATGTCTCGCCATGTGCCCCAACCAAGCTAGCTTGCGATGTTTCACCACTGCCAAGAGAGGCTCCTGATGTCCTGCAAATTTGTATATTTTGTCTCTGATACATTTATTAGTTTTCTGTTCTAAATAACTAATTCGCGTCCAACTCTCACATCTGTATAAGCAAAAAGACAGTACTAGTGGTTTGTGAATAGTGACCTTATTTTTGTGTGTAGAGATACCAGAACAAGAAAGAATTTGCAAGCTAGAACTGTTAGGGTGTAAAAGGCTTTATTAGGATACTATAATGAATGGAATTCTCTCTCTCTCTCTCTTTCTATATATATATATATATATATATATATTATATATATATATATATATATACATATATATATATATATATATATATATATATATATATATATATATATATATATATATATATATCTTTCTCTCTCTCCCTTCCTCTCTCCATTTCCTACACTTTTTTTCCATTCACTCCCCCCCTACCCCAATTGCCAAATTCTCCGTTCTGTCTATTTCTCGTTCTTCATATTTTTGGGTCTTTGTCTTTATCCGTCTCATTTATGTTTTTGTCTTGCACCCATACACTTTTTTTTATCCCTGCTCTCTCATTTTCTTTCCCCTCTTTTGTCTCTTGACTATCTATTTCTTCTCTTGTGTGTTGGCGCAGTTGAAGTGTGTACCTAAATATAA